GGCCTCTAGAAAAAGCAAGAGAACAGAGTCTCCCCTAGAGCCTGCAGAAGGAAAGCAGCCATGTGGACCCATTTTAGACTTCTGAACTCCAGAGCAGTAAGATAATACGTTTTTATTGTTTAAAGCCATTAAATTTGTGGCAGTTTGTTACAGCAGCAATAGGAAACTAATGCATTAAACTCTTTCATCCTCCTCCTTCCCTGTCCTACCTACTGAACTAATTGGAGCCAAGTTACAATCCTCATGACATCCTGTGGGCTGGGCGGAGCAGGGACTAGTGTCATTCCCATATTACAGATGAGGAGACTTGAGACTCTGCACAGGGCCTAGACATTAGGAAGCACTACAATTCCTGCTCTTCTCAGTCTTCTCTGAGAAGACTTCCATGCTGCTCCAAGGCTACAGACTGTGTTTACATGTCATTGTGGGAATCTAAGTGCTGGACGTGGTGCTTGACACATAGTAAGAGCCCAACAAATATTTATTAAATAAAAAAATGAGTGAACAAATTGTGTCCATTCCGTATTGATTTGTTTTCTCTGTCTCCCTCCCTCCCTCCCTCATGCAGATCTCAGAACCCGCTAGCCAAGCTCCATGGCTCCTCCATCTTGGAAAGACACCACCTGGAGTTCGGCAAAACGCTGCTCAGAGAAGAGGTAGGACGAGGGCGCTCTGTGCTGGCGTCGGGGCCCTGACCGGAGACCCCATCTCACGAGTAGCCTGAGTGTGCCCACGCAGCATTTGTTCCACTGGCCTGGGCTGCCACTACCATCATCTGGGCGGCCGCTGTAGTAGTTAAGTGACTACTGTCACCCTCCCTTCTCCCATCTCTCTCTCCTGTTTTTTTCTTTAGAACCTGAATATCTTTCAAAACCTCAATCGCCGACAACATGAGCATGCCATCCACATGATGGACATCGCCATCATAGCCACCGACCTCGCCTTGTATTTCAAGTTGGTATTTCTTCCTTTTAATAATAATCATCCGACAGGGATTATAGTAATAACAAACACCACCGTTCCAATTGACTTAGTGTTTACTATGTGCCAGGCACAACACTTGTGCCATGGACACATTGACTCTCTATAACCCTGTGAGTTAGATATTATCACCCCACTGTACAGATGGGAAAACTGATACTTGGGGCGAAAGATTTGCTAAGATAAGATCAGACCAATCAGTGGCAGAGTCTCAGTTAGAACGGGTAGGTCTTCACTCTCAGGCCTTGGCTTTTTTTTTTAATTTTGTTTTGTGAATTACGCTGATTCAATAAGACTCCATCAGAGTCAGCCAGCGTTAGAAGCCCAGGGGTTGCCTTATTCTAAGACTTGCTCCCTTAGCTGGTCCCAGTACAGTGGGGTTTATAACTAATGGATCACAACCAGATACAGATTTCTTTGTTCCTTCTCCTACTGCTTTACTTGACTAGCCTTAAAAAAAAAAAAAAATAAGCACTTGCTCTCTTTCACGCACTGGTGTGTTTCGTAGGAAGAGGACAATGTTCCAGAAGATCGTGGATCAGTCTAAGACGTACGAGACGGAACAGGAGTGGACGCAGTACATGATGCTGGAGCAGACGCGGAAGGAGATCGTTATGTGAGTTGAGACAGGGATCAAACCCTGATCCTCTTAAGCCCCGGGTCACGAGGTGAGACGCTGCACTGACAGCTTTAGCTGACCTCGACAAGCCCCGGCAGACTTTCCATTTTGGAGGTCTCCAACATATGAAAAACTGAAGCCATACCACAACTAAACTGTACAAGTTATGACATGTTCCATCTTTATTTTAGCACTAGAAATATAAAACACTACACTATTGTTTATTTCTCTGTATAACCAAAAGTAATATTATTGTGAAGTATTCAATATAAAATAATAACTTTCAAGTGTTTTATTTTTATTTTTTTTAGAGACAGAGTCTTGCTATGTTGCCCAGGCTGGTTTTGAACTCCTGGCCTCAAGCAATCCTCCCACCACAGTCTCCCAGAGTGCTAGGATTTACAGGCATGAGACACTGCGCCCAGCCCAAAAAGTGGACTTTATAGCAGTGAAGAAAGGTGTAAATTCATGAACGTGTTGGGACAACAGGGTGGCCACAAAGTTAGATCCCAATCTCACTCCTTACAACAAGATAAATTCTACATGAATCAAAACTTTTAAAATAATGAGAGGCCAGACTCGGTGGCTCATGCTGTAATCCTAGAACTTTGGGACAGAGGCAGAGGAATTGGTTGAGGCCAGGAGATTGAGAACCATGCCTGAAGCAAGAAGTAGGAATATAAACCTAGAAAGAATATATTTAAAATTAATAATGTTTTAATTTACCTAACCCATTCTGGAGTATCTTGGGTTAACCAATGCCACTGAGGAAAAGTATCAGAGATGTGATTAATAGCCATAGAAGTCTTGGCTAATCTCTAGGGCATGCTTTCCGAAAGTGAGGAAGTAAATGGATTCTAATGTTTGCTTTCAAACAAAACTGAAGGAGACTCTTATTATCAATTGAATCATCAGCTGATAGATCCATGCAGAAAAATGATATCAAGTATTTTTTCTTTTTTTTTAATTCTTTCTCTTTTTTTCTCTCCCTCTACATGAATGATTTTTTAATAGTTAATTTGAGAGAATGCAAGAATTGAGTGACAGTGTTGTAATAAAACTATTTCCATTGCCAGGGTTTCTAAGTACTTGAATTTATGAAATGAAAAATGGGCATAAAAGAGATTTATGGATCCTATGTGTCTAGCAATCACAGAAATAGTTCCAAGGCCGGCGCCGGTGGGCTCATGACGGCTGTATATCCTGACGCTCTCTGGGCACGCGAGGCGGCGCGATTGCTCGAGGGTCAGGAGTATCAACAACCAGCTGAGCAAGAGCGAGACCTCCGTCTCTACGCTATAAATAGAAGAAGACTAATTGGCAACTAATTATATATAGAGGAGAGAAATTAGCCGGGCATAGTGGCGCAGTGCCTTGTAGTCCAGCGTACTTGGGAGGCTGAGACAGAAGGAATCGCTTGAGCCCAAGGGTCTGAGGTTGCTGTGAGCGCTAGGCTGAGCCGCCACGGCACTGCACTCCTAGGCCTAGGCAGACAAAGTGATGACTCTTCCTCAAAAAAAAAAAAAAAAAAAAAAAAAAAAGAATAGGTCAATCATTCATTAACTGATTTTTAAAAATAATCCCAGCTCATCTTCATTAAAAGATGAAATTTCCAAAGAAAAAGTTACTTTGAGTGTTTAATAATTATTTATAAAAATAGGTATATTATTTTATGGTTTGGTTAGTTTGTGTAATAACAACTTAATCGCAAAAGAAAATTTTCAACATTTAATGGCTTATGGTCAAAGAAAAAATTTTAATTGTATAATTTTCTTTCTTTTCTTTTTTTTTTTTTTTTTTTGAGAAATGGTCTCCCTCTGTTCTCGTGGCTACAGTGCAGTGGTGTTATCAATAGCTCACTGCAACCTCCAATACCTGGGCTCAAGCGATCGACAACCGACCTCCACCTTAGACTCCTGAGTAGCTCAGACTACAGATGCACAATCCATGCCTGGCTAATTTTTAAAATTTTTTGTAGAAACAGGGTTTAACTATGATTGCTCAGGCTAGTCTCGAATTCCTGGTCTCAAGTGGATCCCTCCTGCCTCAGCCCCACCAAAATGACTGGATTACAGACATGAACCACCACAACTGGCCCTACTAATTTCAATTAATGGATATATTTGGTGCAGAGGAGAGAAATATATAGAAATGAGTGTGATCAGTGAAAGACTTTCTAGCATATATATAGTATATATTTATACACATAATACACAGACACACATATGCATGCATGTGTACATATATCCCCACGTACATACACATATAATATTAGGATAAAATTGTATTGGGGGAGTCAAGTGGAAATATAAGTTTATAGAAAAAAAGAGAGATGTAAAATTCCAGACTCTTAAAGAAAAGATGTACAACTGTATTAACTCCCCTTAAAAAAAAAAAAAAAAAAGAAAGAAAAGATGGTTTCATGTGTTTTTACCATTTACCATGGATGATTGGCTAATTGATTAGCAATTTGGTATCAAATTGCTATGCTATTTTGATTTCTTTGTATTTAAAAAATGATGTAACAATTTTATTTAAAAAGTCAATATTTATAATGTGCTATAAATTAGATCCTTTACAAACATTAACTTATGATGCAATAGTTTAACATGTCAGCTTAAAATGTGCAAGTTAGTTAGCTACTCGGGGAGCTGAGGTGGAAGGATCACTTGAGCCCAGGTGTTGGAGACCAGCCTGAATCAACATAGGGGAGCCCTCATCCCTTAAAAAAAAAAAATTAAAACGCATGGTACAATTCAAACATGTAGCACCTCGGAGACTTGGGGAGGCAGAGGATCGCTGCACCGGAGGTGCAGGTTCGAGCCGGTTGACGCACTACTCAGCCTGGGGCAACAAAGTGCAGACTCGCATCTCAAAAAAAGTACTAAAAAAGAATAAAATTAACTGGACAACTAAAAACTATATAGAAAAATTAGCGGGCACAGTGGTGCATGCCTTGAGGTTGCCATGGAGCCTTGGGCTGATGCAAGGCACCCTAGCCAGGTACAGAGCAAGAATTTTCTGTCTCAAAACAAAACAATGTGCAAGAACATAAGCACTTTTCCAAAGTTCTTTAGTACTGAGTATTACCTAGTCTTCTAGAAATAAGTATTTTAAAGTAAGCTATTGAAACTCTACACAGGCTTGTTTCCAAATAAAAAGTATGTTTAGAGGAGGCAAAAGTTATAAGCCCTACTCTTATATGGGTTGTAAACGTATATTGAAAGTGAGGGCTTGTGAAAGAAGCAGGTGCCAGAGTCACGACCACTTAAAACTTGTTAAAAATTACAGATAATATGTAAAAAAAAAATTCTTTAGTAGTCCCAGTGAAAATGTTTGAAACTTGTAAAAGCAGGGTTCGTCAATCTAAGCACTATTGACATTTGAGGCTGGGTACTTTGGTTGTGGGAGCTGCCTGAGCATTGTAGAGTATTTAAAAGCATCCCTGGTCTCTACCCAACTAGATGCCTGCGGCAGGCAGGCCCCTCCTTCTCCAGTTATGACAATCACAAGATGTCTGCAGGACATTGCCAAATTGCCTCATGAAGGCAAAGCAATGATCACTCCTGGCTGGCTTAATTGTATAAAGTCATCTTGGGTTCATGGATTAGTGATTAGGAGATTAATGAGAACTTCTCACACCCTGAGTGTAGCTTTAGCACACTTGTGGGCTTTGTTCACAGACAGCCTGGGATCAAGGTCTCCTGGCTCTCTGTTTCCTTGGTGGTGTGACTGGAGCAAGTTAACTTCTCCTCTTGGCCTCAGTTTCCTCATCTGGCTCAACGAGAATAATGGCAGCACCTACTTTGTGGGATTGATCCTGGGCTGGCTGGCTATGTGTGAATGCTGTGTGGTGTTGCTCATAGTGAGTAGTGGTGTTAGGTGCTTCCTCTGCTGTAACAAGAACGTCATGTATTTGATCTTGTCCCGAGTTCCGTGACACAGATCCTAAAACTCGGAAGCTTTCCGAGTGATTTTCGCCGGTGTGATAAGAGTGTCTTTTGTTCTAATCTAATGATTCTTGGCATGACACTTAGGACAGCTCAGGTGGGCGGCTGGTCACCACGAGAACACCAAGGCTTGAGTTAGAAGCTTGAACTTCCAGCCCCACCCCAACCTCGCAGGGAGGGCGAGGGTCTTGGAGACTGAGCTACTAATCACTAGTGCCTAATGATGTAATCAGCCATGTCGACTCCATTAAACCTCCCAAAGTCTCTAAACGGTAGGGTCAGAGAACTACTGATTGGTGCACATTGAGGTGCTGGACGCATGCATGTCTGAAGAGGCACACGCACCACCCCTGCATGCACCCAGCCCATGCCTTCTATACATCCTTCCATTGGGCTGTTTCTTTTTTACTTTTTCTTTTTTTCTTGAAACAGAAGGTGCTCACTTTGTTGCTTGGCTGTTAGAGTACCGTGGCGTCAGCCTTTAAGCTCACAGCCAACCTCAATCCTGGCTTAAGCAATCTCCTGCCTTCAGCCTCCAAGTACGCTGGAGACTACAGGCATGTGCTACCTACTGCCCGGCTAATTTTTTTTCTATATATTTTATTGCCAATTAATTTCTTCTTTATTTTAGTAGAGATGGGGTTTTCACTCTTGCTCAGCGCTGCGTTTCGAACTCCTTACCTGAGCGATCCTCCCGCCTCGGGGCCTCCCATAGGTGCTAGGATTACAGGCGTGAGCCACCTACGCCTGGCCCCATTGGGCTGTTTTTGAGTTGTATCTTTAGTAATACACTGATCAATGTAAGTAAAGTGTTTCCCTGAGTTTTTTTTTAGCTGCCCGAGCAAATTATTGAGCCGAAAGTGGGGGAACCCCTGACTTTGCAGCCAAGTCAGACAGAAGGATAAATATCCCAGGGACCCGACACCTGTGGCTGGCCTCTGAAGCGAGGCTGTCTTGCGGGACCGAATGGTTGAACCTGTGGGGTCTGATGCTAAATCTGGGCATTCAGCGTTAGAGTTGAAACGAATTGGTGTCAGGATTGGTTGTTGTAAGGAAAAACCCAACACTCCTTTCCCGTGCTTTGGTTATCTTGGAGGGCTTATTATGTCCGTGGGCTTCCTGTGGTCTGAGCAGACCCCTTGACACGTCCAAAGTCAACTGGCTTTTGCTAGATTCCTACG